CCCAAACTTTTGCAGTCCTGCACTGCAAGCGGATGATAAGATTCTTTTGTAAATCTAAGATGCTAATCTCAGAGTCATTATTGTCTCGATTCCCTGGCATGGCTTCCTAAAGCAGCTTGGTAAGATTTTTGTGTGAGCCCAGTCTGATAAGTCTGATGCTGATGTGGAAAAGGTGGAGCGCGAATGAGTGTGCTCAAGATCTTATTCACACACTCGATTGGATGGGGTCGAGCCAGAAGGACTCTCACGTCCTTAAAAGCAGTAGTGAGATGGCAGACTTTCTTTGGCATCCACCTCCTGTCGTGTCATTGTTCTAAGCTGTGTTTGGCTTTGAATTGTGCACCACAGTGGTGCTGGATTTGAATTATGTTCCTCTCTGTGCAGTCACACGGTCCAGCTACAAAACCTCATTTTTTGCTCCCCTGTTGAGAGTTTGTGTGTGCATGTGCAGGGCGGAACGAGAGATAGCTGCTTGAAGTTGAAGAGCACATGCTTGCTCCGCAATCCCAAAGGACAATAGACACTTACACAATTGAGTTAATTAGAAAATGTTTCTATTGCTTTCTGAGTCTCGGGTTCTTTTAATTAAGAAACACAAAAGTGTCTTTCAGAATAAGACATTTGCTCGATGAAGAAGATAAGCACTCTGGTTTATTGCATTGGACGGCGCAACATTAGACTTATTTGCATTTACAGTATTAGTGCACAGCCAATGCAATTTCACTTCTAAACAACTAAGCATGATATGAGAAGTATTTTTTTATTGCTACCACAGACTGTGTGATTAAAAATACAGCTAATGTACTCATAGAAGTCAATTTACTCAGACTCAAGCTGTGCTTGTTGTATTAAACATAATGTTTTTCATAAGCTTTAATTATAAAAGTGTCAGAATTGCTCAGTGTCTGCTGTAGCACTAAATGGTTCTCACCTTTACAGACCTTTAATATGAGCTCACAGAATCCTGTATCCCTTGGAGCCAAGAGGTTTTTAATATCGTTTTAACAGTATCTTTTTCTACGTAATAAAAATTTCTAGTTACATGTTAGACGTGTAATTTTATAGCTAGGCTTATAGCTTCAGTTACTACTACATTTGAGTGTTTTTTTATTGTACACTTGCATTATCAACACACTATTTCCCTGTTTAATACTGTAAAGCTGCTTTGACACAATCTGTATTGTATAAAGCACTATATAAATAAAGACTGATTTGACCTGACTAATCAGACATCAATTATGCTGCATTCTGTTCAACCCCAAGTCAGAATTTCAAACTCCCAACTTTAAATGCAACGCTGCATTACTTTGCACATTCTTTTGCTGCGTTCCAAAGTCAGATCCAACTTCATTTCTATTTTACTCATTTGATGAATTTCATTAGCTTAAAAGTGAAAGTTTTTCATTAATTGTCTACATCTCGATGTCACCATGGTGATGCAACATTATACTCACTCATCTTGGCAAAATCTCCGACTTGTGTACTGACAGATTTCCCAAGCTGGAGGTCCGATTTCACATGGCATTCAATTGCACATTTCAAAGTACAACGTTGAATGAAACCTAGCAATATAATATTGCATGCCACAGCTGTCAAGACATGTCTAATAATGATAGTACTCTAAGAAAACTGATGGAGCACTGGCTGGTCTAAGCCCAGGACGGCTCAATGCTTTGTGCAGTTTGAGTCCCATGTGGCAGGGTTTGCTTTAGAGGAGGCATAGAGATTAAAGGGACTCTTTATTCCCCCAGCAGGTTGATATTCAGGCCAGTGGTGGAGAAAAAAAGTGTGCGCAAAGAGCAAGTTTTAACAGGTATGAATCAGGGGTCTAATGCTAGACAAGCTTCAGGAGCAATTATGGTCTAAGCCGCAAGCTTTCAAAGAAGATGCTGGGCAACTGACCAATAAGAGTGGCCTTTAAGATGGCTGACAGATTCTCCTCTGTTTGAAAAGAGTTGAAATGACAGGGCTTTGGAAAAAGCTTTTTGAAAGTCTGGTGGGAGGGTGTTTTGTTTATTTTTTTATATATACTTTTCATGTCTCTTAACATGCTGAAATATTATGCTAAATGAGCAAAACTCAGCGTTTCAAGATATCAAGCAATCAAATTTTAATGTCAACAGGAGACGCTATTCACAAACCATTTTAGCTGATAATCTGGTGTAAACAGGATTTAAAAATGAGACATTTTATGTATTTGTAATACATTTCCTAATGCATTTGAGAGAAACACACTAGAGATCCATGTTAATTGCTCTTAATTTTGAATGAACCATCTGGGAACATATTGTATGTCTGTCCATAAGCTAAAACCATTTGATTATTGTATTGATCTATTATTGTTTTTTTCATAAATGGATATAGTGATGCTGTCCAATGAAGGGTGTTGTGCTAAGAAAGAAAAAAAAAAAAACAAAGGAAAAAAGTGGAGGATTGTCCCCTCCATTACTCCACAGTCAATTCGAGGCCGTGGGCTGATGATCCCAAAGTTACTTTAGACTATCACTCACTGTTTTTCCTCAGAGGAGAGTGCTTATCGATTTTGTCAACAGCCAATTGATTTTTCTTTCTCTCTTTCTCTCTCACTCTTTATCTTCCCCAATCGCTCTCTCTTCAGACCTTGCTTTGGGAAATGTGTCCTGTGGTAGCAAGTCTAACCCTTCTGGGAGACAAAGATGCTAGCATTTATTTCAATTTTTCTCTACTGCCAATTCAAATATAAAGTCCTCACACCACGATAAGAGAAACAATAGATGCTTCAAACTGAGGACATTTGGGGAAAAAGATCCTGTCAGGATATTGGACGATGTTCTAAATGCCAACTGTCCTGGCGGGAATTTTTTTTCAAATATAGAATGGATAAAACTTACCAAAAACGTGACCAGATCACATTTTACTCAAAATACCATTTTAACTAAAAAAACATCAGAAATATATTCTTTGGTTTTTCTCATTGTGATGGATGATTAAGGGAATTTGGGCTTTGTTTTCCCTCCTATTTATATTTCTGTGAAACAGGAAGCCATGGCTGGATAATTTCATGTTCATAATCACCCTGGAGTGCTCAAAATTGTGAATATGAATGGGAATATACTTCAGAGATATTTTACTCATAAGAATTTCTAGGGGTGCCAATAATTGTGTCCAACGTGTATTTGAGAAAAACATTTATTTCATAATGATATTTCCCCCCATTTTAAATTCTTATTATCCAATGAAAGGTTAGATTTTTGTGAATTTTTTTAATAAAAGATCAAAAGGATTAACAATGCAGATTAATTTTCACAGCCTTCTTTGATCATATTTACCTAGGGTGCCGATATTTTTGGCCATGACTGTAAATTAAGATCTTTTATTGTAAATTAAGCCTATTTTATGGTCATTAATATATCACCTTGTGATTTCATTGTGACATTATTTTAAAGACAGTTAAGTACATTTAACTCCCAAATTTCCATGAGAATGGATAATAAAGATTTAATCTAATTCAAATTCTAGCAAAAATTGCTCTCTTATTTCTTCCGATTTTCAGATGGAAAATGACCTTGACAGTTTTCTTGAGATGTACTCATGTTGGAGTGCTTGCTAGCTTCCCAAAAGCAGAATACAAGATGTCTTTCGTGCACTGGAGCCTGACATTATTTATACAGTCCTTGACTCTGCATTGTCCCAGAGCAAATCAAGCACATTCAGATCTGGAGTGGAAAAATCTGCTTTTTTTCTGGAGAAATCTGCTTCCCTTAAAGTTGTCATTGGTTGCCAGGTGTTTGTTGTGTTGTGCGCAAAAGCCTTCATTACTGTATGAATCTCTGAATGCAGAATTCTTCCACCACATCTGTCTACCAATTATTCCCAGCAAATGTTGGTTCGAGGAGGAAGCTTCTCTCGCATCTCGAAAACTGGCATTCCCATATCTGGTGCTTGTGCTCTGTTGACGCATGCAGTTTTAGTCCTGCTGTATAGAGGCGTTGCTCTTTCTCTTGGCAGGAGGCTGTTAATCTTGTCGAAAAGCTGAGGGGCTCGATTGTCCTCCCCTGACAGCTCTCGCTGGAGTTTGGAGCTGTATTTATAAAGTCATGACCAGAAGACAAAATACTATTTTCTGTTATTCTAGCACAAAGTTTATCACTATGCTGCACGGATGTAAATTGCTCACAATATTTTTAAAACAAGTTTTTAGAGGCTAAGCAATTTGGTCAGTGTGCATAAATTCTTGTTTGTTAAGTTCAAACCTCATTAAACAACATACGTTTTGGAGTATTTTCGTTCTGTTCATTTAGTTCCATGCAGTCCTTGACAATCAAATAAATCCACAGCTGAGCTTGACTGCTTTAACAATGTCAAGCTCAAAATGTCTTCCAAGAGTGATCAAATGGCAAGTTGTGAATGCCAGCAGCTCCTGTTTTCAACTAAATTGGCTGATTACTCTCACTAGAGCCTTGCAACATCTCTCTCTGAGCGAAGATTGTTAATCCCGTGCGACCAGCAGACATGAAGGTCTCCAGCAAAGAGCGTCAAACAACAGACTGAAACTTTTCGTCATTTTCTTTTCTCTCCCTTGCTCTTGGAAGATATTGAACCGTAAAGCACATGGCTGTTTGGAATCATGTCAGCTCAGTCCATTTGGTGGCCATCTTGATAACAGCTCTTTCCAGTCATGCGAGTACAGCTTTTATTGTCTTGAATGGAGAAAGTTAAATAAACGAATGGTTATCTCAAGATTTAAATTCTGCGACTATTTACTCACCCCCATCTTTATAAAACTTAACTACTTTTCTTTCTTCTGTGGAACCAAAAGGGAGGAACTTAACAGAATGTTCAGACTGCTCTTTTCCAGTGAAAGTAATATTTTAAAGGCAGATTTTTATAGCAACTTAAATTCTGGTCTGTTCCTCACAAAAATCTATCACATGGCTTCAAAAAATTTGAAATGTAATGCATGAGTTACAAACGTAGTGTATAAGTACATTGAGTTTTCTTGTGTGTTTTTGTCTGCACAGTGCCATCATGGGCCATTGTCGCCATTGCGTTTGTTGCTGTTGTACTAGTTGTTTCCTGCTGCTTCTGCATCTGCAAAAAGTTGATATTCAAGAAGAAGAACAAGAAAAAGGGCAAAGACAAGGGCAAGAATGCCATCAACATGAAGGACGTCAAGGATGGTATCAAAACCGAGGTAAAAACATTTTGTTACTGCTGTTGGATTAGCCTTGTTCTTTAGTCATCAGAAGTTGCATGAAATATTTATTTCCTCAAGTATTATTGTATTAATGCACGATGCAAATTAAGAATGTTCATAAGACAACTCTAGATGGAGTCATCTGTTGATGGTGTTGTTTCACAGCTGACTTTAATTGCAGGACTGCAAAACCTGGGCATGCTAACGGTTCATTAAAGTATTCAGTTTTTTTCTGTTTTTCTTGCATTTAGCTTAATTCACTTTGTAGTGCTGCATATGGTTAACTGTGCTATGAAGTGGTATCAACCCAGAGAAATGACAGTAGATAATGAAAACAATAGGAGAAAGAACATTTATGCAGCTCACTTTTTCCCGCACACCCACAAATTATATGGAACACTGGCACTTTAACCCTAGTTAGCATGCTAATTGCATTAACATGCTCGCAATAGTACACTTCTAACAGAATAATTGACAAAGTCAGCTTAATTCGCGGTATAAGGATGCTGGCTTTGAGACCATGCCAAGACCACTCAGATCCCAAATTAGAGACATTGATTTTCGAGCACAAAGCACAGTGAAGAGGAACAGACACAGATAATTAACAACACTCTTTAAAAACCTAGTGTGCAATTCCAGAATGTCACAGTTTATCAGCCTCAAACCAAATGCGAATAGATGTACTATAGCTGCTATATGATGTTTACCCACCAGCATTGTTTATTAGTACTTTCAAAATAGAAATAAGAAATGGCTACAGCCACTGAAATCCATATAATCAATATTTTGCAACACAACCCTTCTGAATAAAACAAACCAGCCTAAGGTGGTTAACTGGTCTCCCAACTGAACCAAGCTGGTTAGTTTTAGATGGGTTTGGGTCACTTGTCAACTGGTCTGTCAGCTGGAAGGCCAGCTGAAGACCATCTTGGTCAGGTTAGGAGACCAGCTAAACCAGCTAAGGCTAACATACCAACTTAGGCTAATTTAACATGTTGTTTTTAGCAGGGAAACACCCAAATATAGATTGTAATACCCGTGCTAATCAGATAAATATGAGAGGTTAATGAATTGTCACTCTTACTTAGCCAATTAGCGCAGGTATTAAGAACGATACACAACAATCAGAGCGATATGCCAGAGTACAATGTCCTGCACAACATACATCTTTTGTTTTATTGTCAGCAGAAGGAGCTTTGAGCTTCTCAGCAGTCATTTCTCCTGGTGTGCCCAGACTCATGTGATCGCCTTTGTGTGTGGTTGTTTTAATTTGTGTCTCTTCCTTCCATGTCCTCCTTATCTATGTTTTGTCTGATGACTTTGCGGGATTGCCACTGGCGGTAGGTTCCCAATTGCTGTTGGATCTTCTATAGCCTGCTGCAATGACTTTTAATAGCCTCTTGACAACTAGGTTTACTCTAGTAGAGTAAAATTTGTGTTACTATGCATACAGTACATGTATATCTACAATATATATATATATATGTGTGTGTGTGTGTGTGTGTGTAAGTCTACATATACACATATATATGAAATGAGAAAATGCATTTGGGTACACAAGGTTGAACCACATTGATTTCTCCTTGTTATTTGAGGTCCAAAACAGAAAATGTTCATTTCTCCAGTGTAAAAAAAAAAAAAAGAAAAAAAAAGTGACTGAGGAGACTGTCAAAGTACGAACTGCTTAACTGCTAGTGATATGTTCGGCTTGTTTGACTGCCCTTTTATCTGTATTATCTGTACTCATCTGGGTAGGGTTGCACCAGCCATTTGTAGGTTCTTACTTAAATTAGAATGTTAAGCCCACACTAGAGGCTTAGTAACTACTAGCTAGTTTGTAACTAAATCTATACATTATTTGGTTGCACCAGTTGTTCGTAATGCAGGACTTAGCTAATAGTTTGTAAGCTCTCTCCGTAAAATAATGCATAGTCGCATATGATGTTTACCCTAAATGATCCAATAGAAGCCTTCAAATACGTGAGCAGAACTTGTTTAAATACTGTGAATTTCAATATATCCGTCATTCTAACTTCTTTTTCCTCATGTAACTAACGGTAAAAATAAGTTTCCATTAAAAACGATACTTAATCATGAATAACATTATAGTCTATAGGTAATAGGGGTGGGGGAAAAAATCGATACAGCATAGTATCGCAATATTTTCTGTGGCAATACTGTATCGATACAGGGGACGCCAAGTATCGATCTTTTATTATACTATTTGGTAGAATAATAAAATCAATTGCTTTACAATCCACTCGATGGTGGTGTTGAGTTTTTTTCTGGTGAGGTCAGCTGGGTCACCTTCAGCATGCAGTAAGTTAGTAAAATAAAGAGACATCGCGGAAAGTTATCAGGAAAGCCCCGTCCGCGTTTAAATCGGATGTATGGACTTACTTCGGATTTGTAAACAAGGAGGGGATGTAAGTAGGGATGCACCGAAAATATAGGCTACATGTAATAATAATAATAATAATAATATGGCGCGCCGCGTCGCGCTCCGCCCGGCAGTGTTCAGCGTGCATGTTTCACTCTCCTCGTCACGTTTGACGCTCCGCTCAATATTCCGATCTATGAATGTGTTTTCCGCTCGTGTACCGCTCATGCTCATCGGATAGTTGAGTTTGCCAGGTGCATACAACATTTATGACAGGTTTTCATGAAAGTGTTGGTCAGTTTGTCTGCTTGACAATCCCATTTTGCACTGCAACAATAAAACTGAAGTGAGATAAACTGAGAAATGTTTCTTTTTAGTTAAAACAGATGTTGTCAAAGTTTTCCTTTGGGGACATAATTTGAAGTTGGAAACATGTAATAAATTGCAATATATCGCAGAATATCGCAATATATTTAAAATCGCAATAATATTGTATCGTGACACAAGTATCGTGATAATATCGTATTGTGAGGCCTCTGGTGATTCCCACCCCTAATAGGTAAGCTATTTTTTTTATATGTAAATAAAATTCAGAAACTGTAATTGAATATAATATAAGGGTCAATAAATACTGAAAGAAAAAAAAAACATAAGAAATGCCATTTATTTATTATTACTGATTTCGTTTGACATGCGCAGTATGGACTGAAGCACACAAGAGGCGTGCTGTAGATGGGGTGTTGAAGAAGCGCTAAAAAAGAAACAAAGTACATTTATTCACATTGTTCTCTCTCGTAATATGTACGTGAGTGTAAATGTCAGCAGCATCATATATGTCTATGTATTTTAGGCTAGGCCCACCCACATTGTAATTCCTGGCTACGCTAGTGATGTCAGCAGCATCATATATGCCTAAAGGATTGAAGGTTGTCGGGTAAAAGAAGAGCATATTGATGCAGTTCACTCAGTCTTGCTATTTTATTCCAACCGTTACTCCTGTCCGGACGCTTCCGTAAATATTTAGTTTATACGTAGTTACGCTTCAACTAAGTGTAATGGTGCAACGAAAAAATATTTAGTAGTGCGTAAGTTGTAACTTATTGCCCATTTATGTCAAAACTAGGCTAAGTTGTAATTTGCTTACAGCTGGTGCAACCGGCCCCTGGTCCACTAGAACTTAAAATTGAAAAATGTCCTGGAGGAGAACAGCACCCCCCTCATTAGCAGGACAAATGTGTTCAAGAAGCAATTTTCAGACACGATGACCAGACTGATCTTCAATTGGATTACATGTTTTTTGAAACATCACCTTTGCCAGTCACATGGAAAGGGTATCAATAAAGGACACTTACAGCTGCATACTAACTGGTTTTATCAACTAATTTTAATCATTTTACACTTCCAAAAAGACTCGTTTAAATGAATGATTCAGCCAAAAAAAAAAAGACCTGTCTTCATTTACTCACCCTCATGTTGTTCAAAAGCTGTGTGACTCTTCTTGGAACGTAAAAGGAGATGTTTAGCAGAATGTCCACACTGCTCTTTTCCACACAATGAAAGTTAATGTTAAGCAAGATTTAAAAGCATGGTTTTTAGTGAATAGTGGCTTAATATGTTGTCACAGTGCTGTCACATGACTCTGAGTCGTATGGACCACTGTTATGGTGTTTTGTTTTAGTCAGTTTTTGGCCTTACCAGCCTTTAATTCCCACCCACTTTCATTTTATGGAAAGGAGCAGCTCATGTGTCCTGCTAAACATCTCCTTTTGCTTTCTGCTGGAAAAATAAAGTCATTCGGGTTTGGAACAACAACAACATGAGGATGAATAAATCATTTCTGGATGAACTATGCCTTTAAATTAACAAGCTTAACAAGCTTGACTTAACAAGCACCCCAAAGAGAAGTGTTTGGGAAAATAGTCTGGTCCTCATAAGGAGACAAGACAGTCAAGAAATCAGTTTTGTTCAGCCTTTTGCTTTCACACTTGTAACCCAACAACTAATAAGACAGACCCTGTACACATTACGATCCCTCCCACAACACCTTCTGCTGGCATGATGCTTACAGCTTCCATGAGCGTGGTGGTTATCACCAATAACTAAGGGTCATGACAACGCCACTGTGTGTGGAAGATCACATCACAGAGAATGAGGGTCAATATACGAGCACTCTTCTTGAGAACGTGAATGCCCTGCATGCTTTACCGATGAGCAAGACTGCCCTTTCAGAAGGCAACTATTTCACAGTGAATGAACTGAGAGCTGAGTTTGCCTCGAAAATCGCATGCTTTCCAGCGACAACAAACCTCCCTCGACATCCCCTTAACACTGCCACTGTCTTAAACTCTGGCTAGCTAGGGAGCTAATGCCACACCATCCACAACATTTACCCACTGATTTGTTGATGCCAGAGATTGTTCTGCCTGAAATAACATAAAGGACAATGTATTGTACAATGTATTTCTTAAAAACATCTGTCTGCTCATCTTGCCTAGGGTTGGGCGGTATGACCAACAATTGTAAATGTTTTTTTATGTCACAGTACCGGTATATATATATATATATATATATATATATAACATGACATGTTTGTCGTTGCTTTTTAAAATTATTATTATTATTTATTTATTTGTTTGTTTTTTGATAATTTTATATTTATTTATTTATTTTGTACCAATTTTGACAGCGTCATATGTTAATTATTGGGAAGATTTTCATTAATGATTTATACGTCTGACAACTGTGCAGAAACAGCTTTTCATAATCTAAAGTGGGCTTAAATATAATATAATATAATATAATATAAATACCACTGATTGGATGAGCCAAGTTAAATAGCTATATACAGCACCATATGTGCAGCCAATACCACCCAGCCCTAGCCTTTCCCTTCCCACCAACCTAAATTGCTTGCACTCATTCAGTTCATCTTCTTGCAACTCTTTTCACAACTTTTCACAATAGCAGATCATAGGAGAGAAGGGGGTTCACAGCCCAAGTCTAGTGCATCATTGAGCATGTCATGGTCTTAATTGCTGTGGTGTTTTAGTGCTTGCTCCCCCCCTAATAGAGGTGCGGTTGAAGAGCAGGATGGTCCAGGGCTGGCCCGGCGCTCTGGCGAGGGCAATCGGGCAGCGCCAGCGTTGGGCCGACAGGACTGACTGTTAGTGGGTGTCTCCTTCAGGCCTTGAAGGATGAGGATGATGCGGAAACAGGGCTGACGGATACAGAGAAAGATGTGGAGCCTAAGGAAGAAGAGAAACTTGGCAAATTACAGTACTCCTTGGATTACAATTTCACAGAGAATACGGTAAGGGGCTGTCTCCGAATCACCGTCACTGTGTGTTGTTTAGTGAGGTCTTCTTCGTAAGTACAGTGTGTTTGTCTGTCAAATTGTAACCAGCTCCACTTAAATAACGCCCATTACTCTAAGGTTATTCAGTGTGTCACTCTAACATAATTGAATGATCACTGTAAACTCTGTGTTTAAAAAATACATGCTGAAAATGTGAAGATAGATTACACTTTGAAAGTACGAATCACTTTTCAGAGTAATTTTTATTGATGTGCTGTATTATTAAGTGCTATCTATGAAAGCCAGAGAAATTCAGACTTAGCACTTATAAAATAATGCCCTTCATCCTGTAAACTCACCAAATGCCATGAATGTCAAGAGCACATTACAGTAGTTAGATTTGAGTTTGAATCGGCTTTCTTCCATGCTGACTGAGTGAGGGTGCTGGCTTGTCTTCAACTCTGAGGCTAAGCCGAAATTCATTGGGCGCCTCTTACAAGCGGTTGAGCTTGAAAAACGAGTGACTTCCAGAATAGATGCACTTCCTTTTGTCAGATCCTGGGTGACAGATAATTGAAGCTGTGCATAGTCTCATGCTGAGACTGAGCAGAAAAAAGCTACAAACCTGAAAAAGCCAGATTATCCGCCATCACACACACACAAATTGCAGCTTTTATAAGCACCGCCACAACAGGAGCCTTTTCATTGTATGCCGGTAATGTATGTGTAGTGAGATGACAAAATGACTGCAAATGACTGGTAATGCTTTCAATTTATGGCATAACAGAGTTTTAAGAACAAGAATGAGATGTTCAAGATACTGCATTTGTTCAATTCTTTTGCAGTGAAACAAAAATATTTCAGATATCTAGTTAGGTTTACTGAAGTATTCATAGAAGGTATAAGAATGTGAGGATAAAATGTAGCATGAACACAAAAGAGCAATTTCACTTAACAATTGTCATTTTTTGTGCATGGTATTTTAGCATAAAACCCTACATCATATTCACTAACCACCTGCAAAAAAGCAGGAGATGCAAAGAAATCCACATCAATCTGACCCAGATTCAACCCACAGACCCGCTCACTCTCATTGACACAAGTGTATCTCCATCCTTTGTGCCGGAAGGAAATCTACGTGCTTCTTTCCCGTCTGGCTTTAAATCAAACTGAGTATCGCTTCAGGGCGACTCAGAGGTCTGGGAGATTTTTCTGCAACTCTTGCCCTTTCCAAAGGGGAAAGGTTCCAGGGAGCTCAGCTAAACTCTGGGTTTGTTTAAAGGTATTCTGGACCTTTTCAACCCTGCTGAGCAAGCCAGAGGGTAAAAATAGAAAAGTACAAAACATGGCATTCACAAAGCCACACGACACAATATCTCAGAATCCAGGGCGGCTCCTCGGGGAGACAGAGACAGGGTGCAGATAAGGGCAATATTATTAATGAGGATAGAAAAAGAGATGTGGATTGAACTGTGAATCCACACACGTTCACTGAGGTGGATCATTGCAATCGTTTTCTAACACATCCCAGGTATTTTAAGGACAGGAACCCCTCGCTGTTTATGCCGAATAACAAACCCCCCTAAGAAAATGGTTTTCTCTGAAAACCATTGCAGCAGTAATTTAAGATGACAGCTTCAAAGCCTTCAGATGAGAGATTGTGAGCACTGCACCCACTGAGGTGAAGTCATACGGCTGGATCTTCCTCCAGCATGTCCTGCAACAGTCTGATTCTTCAGACTCTGTGAAGTTTTTGTATCCTGCTGAGCGATTGAAGGTTATTATGGCCAAAACAATCAGAGACAGATCCACCCTGACTCATACTGCTACTGTCGTCCAGATCTATTCAATCTTACTCACAGCAAGGAGCTGCTTACAAAAGACTTCTCATTTAAACTCAAAGATGGCATCAGCTTGTCTTTCACAAACTTACAGTGAGACTGACAGCGATGCCACTGACAGATACATTGCGTAATTGGGGCCAAATGTGCAGTGACATTTGCGAAATTTTGCAAGCACAAATAGTATAGTATATAGTATAGTGATGTGTGAAGCACAGCTGACACAGAAGTCACTAGGGGTGTGTACAGTTCTCCACACACGGTTCGGCACACGCTAGGACCGCGGTTCAACTTAAATCTGACAACGCATCTGTAATATGGTTTGCTATAAATAACACGTAAAACAAACACGGTTCGGCTAATGTATGTTTCTGTTGATGGATGCGTATTCTGGCTTCCCAGTACATTACAACATCAGCGATGAAAAAAAAAAATGTGGACAAACCATTCACTCTTGTTCAATGCGAATGCCGTATGCTGGAATATGAGCAGTCATTTTTTCCGTCATCACCCGGGTGCTGATAGCGCGCGCGCATGGGTGAGACCTGAACAGCACACATTGATATCTGTGTTTAAACTAAACATGTCAAAATGCCCGTCTTGGTAAGTATCCTATAGCAGACATAGCCGGCTGAACGTACTGTATCAGTGCATTCTCTTAAAGTGACAGCACTTTCTTAATATTAATCAAACAGCAACAACAAAGAATTCACTCACTGCTCTTGATTGAATAGCTTTTGTAACTTTAATAAAGATTAATCTTTAGTTTATACAGTGAAATATGCAATGCTGTTTTACATTTCATTACTTTATTTAATTTCTGTACCTAAAAACTCACGTTAGACCTACCTAAAAAAAAACAGAAAATCACTGTTTATTTTATTTGTATCTTTAATATATTGTATTTATTTGTGCTGTTGCTTGTAGCTAGATAGATTATTCTTATTTTCTTTATTTTTATTTGACAGTATAGTTTTTCCCTAAACATAGCACATACCGAACCGTGACTCTAAAACCGTCATACAAACCGAACCCCTAGAAGTCACTTTTCAAACCAAACCAATCTTTTGCTCAACGCTGCAAATTTATGTGACCAATTTGAACCTGCTGTGAAATCTGCTTGGGGAAATCTTTTGCCCTCACGCAAAACGTTGTGCTGATTCCTTTTGAAATGAATTGATCTCACCTGCCAAAATTCAGTGAACAATGGCAACCACAACTTTAGGTCAACGTGATATGAACAATACTCTATTTACTGTGAGTCTGATGCCACGTGTCATTGTTTTCATGTCCAAACTCTCTATCAGATCACAAAAACAAACAAAAAATGGTGCTAATATTTACAGCATGCTGTAATACTACTGAAAAATCATGATCCTAGCTTTTATTTCCATACCGAAATCTCAGTTGGCCAGACAGTGATTCATCTTTTCTGAATCAATACATTTTTGGTGTCAGGAACACTGAGTTCAGAGACTGTAGTGTACACTGTGAGTTTTTAAAAGCTCAGCTTAAATGTGTGCTAGAAATAAATTAAGTAGTTGAGATAGTATTCTCAGTCTTAATGGAGTTGGAGGCTTGGAACCAGAAACATTATTTGATATGTCACAACAATTGCATTAATATCAAATATCTTGAAATAAGTGTTACAATTGGGTTATGTTGAGGTGCTCTAAAGGGTGAAGTTGACCTTTACATTTAATTAGAAATTCCACTTTATTTATTATTATCTAGATATTGAATTTCTTATTGCTAACATGTCAAGATATGAATCTGGAGTCAAAATCTAGCTGACATTTAAGTATTCTCCTGTGAAGTATGAAATGCTAAAAACTGGAATCAGTATAGTTTAAAATATAATTCCGCAGTTCTCACAAAGTTAATGGTCATATTTCAGCATGACTGACAAAAGAGAACTGTTTATTAAAATAAATAAATAATAAGGACTCTTATTTTGTCAATCATTAGGAGCGATGGGCATTATTTGTGGAGCATTTTCTATTTTGTAACAGTTTCTTTCAAAATACAATTGTTTCTCTTCCTGTTTGGTTGTCTGTGTTAGAACAGTGTATGTGGGGGTGTTTCTTTCTTGAAGCCAGAACATGTGCTTTTTTTCATCCGAGATTACAATGTGAAGCAATAAAACTGTCCAGACCTGAAACCCACCACCATTTAATTAAAAAAAAAATAAATAAATTACTACAGCCTGACAGGATATTAAAATCTTTATAGTTCCTTTGTCAAAAAAAAAACACAATCACAGGGTTCTCTGATGGCCACCATCTAAACCAGAAACACTGGCAAAGCTCGTCACTGACTGCAGTCTTCCCGTGGCAGCACAACCGAAGTGTGACAGCTGGTCAGAGTGAGAGAGAAGGGCCTGTGTTGACACAGAGACGGGGCGTTTTATGGGAAGCTGATGGGAGCTTGATTGACTGACTCTAGGACCCATGAGGCCATGCAGGGGATATGGTGACTGGCAGGTCAATCAGGACCTCAGCCCAGCAAGCCGGCCAATCAATTATCAGAGCCGATGGGGAGATAGGATCAGCAGCACCACGCTTGACATGGCCTGACCCCATCGCCTCCTTAATGCTGGGACTGTTTAAAGAGTAATGCAGTCTGGGCCTGAAGGATGGACCTCAGCATCATAACTATAACTGACCTCTCGGTGGCTTTTCATTTAAATAAGCAGATACTCTCAAGACTGATTTACTATAGTACCACCCATAAAAGGAAGTGAACAGGTGAAGTCAAATACAAACCAGTTGATTCACAGTAAACCTCATCAGATTTATCAGAAAGTAGTTGAAACATTTTCCGTGTGTGCTAGTTACTAATTTTGAGAGTAAAAGTTCTCAAAAAGTGAAGACGCATCCACCAAACCTTGGGAAAAAAAAATAAATGGCGAAAAAACCTTGTTTGTTGAGACTACCAACACCTATTATTTGAATGTAGTGTCATTTTAGTATTACTTATGTACTGTTGTGGTATTTACAGTATTAATATTTTGTGTTTTCATTATTTTTATTAAGGTTTTCTATATTTTTATTTTTATTAATTTTAGCACTTCAGCTTATTTCAGTTAGTTTCAAAGGCAAGATTTCTAATACTTTTAATTTTCCTCTGATATTTATGTTTTAATGTCAACTTTATTACAATAACTGGAAATGTTTTTTAATAGTTTTAGTTAACAATAACAACACTGTTTGAAAGCTTGAAAGTCACCAGACAAGCTGAACAAAAAAACAGCTTTATGGAAAGTCCCTGATACATTCAGTCTACGTGAATGTGTAGGACTGATGTTAGACAGCATATCTTGGTGCTTTGGAAAAAGACCAACTGTCTTCATATAAATCTGACCAGCACTACAGTGAACTCCTACAGAATGGTGGTGGGGTGATGGTTCAGACAAAGACTACACTCCTCTTCAAAGTCTTACTCATGATCTCTTTAACTTTGACTTTTGACCCTTCATAGTTCATAGTGGGGATCATCCAAGCAGCAGAGCTGCCTGCCATGGATATGGGTGGCACTTCTGACCCCTATGTAAAGGTCTACCTTCTTCCAGACAAGAAGAAGAAATTTGAGACCAAGGTCCACCGGAAGACGTTGAATCCTGTTTTCAATGAGCAATTCACCTTTAAGGTAGGTCACAAACCTAATAGCGTCATATTATAACAAGCGATTTCTCATTGGATCCATGCGTTTGCATTCTACTCATACAGTTTATCAAGTTATTTCTGACTACTTCCTCTGGCGTATTAACAAGACAGTAAGTGGCATGAGGCGTTGGAGTAATTACATGTAAACATGCAGATGGACTCCTGCAGGTGTCAGTCATCCGGAAAGTAGTATAATTTCTATTTTGAATGTTCAGTAGAGCTTTCCGATTCGTTTTTATGAGATGTCATGCAGCTAGAAAGACCTTTTTGTGTAATTACCTCTAGACTTCTATTAAATTGCTAAGTGAAGTGTTGAATTCTTAAAAGAATTGCAAAAATATAACTGATTCAACCAAGGGGGGTAAAGGACTGTTTGCGTGTTTGGTTCTTGTTTAGCCTAGCGCAATTTCAACTATGACAAGGTACCTTGAGAACAAGAAATGTGCCACATGCCAACATCGAGAGAGATAGCCACAGAGCTCTGACATGTAATCACAAGTGCCTTCATTATTGAAATGAAGAAACTTGAGAGCTGGTGTGTGTGATAGCGTCAAGGACAAAATAGCAACCCTTGGGTCTTATCTCTTTCCCGGCCAATCAAGCAGTTTGTCGCCATGTTGGAACAAGTCCTTCGGGATAACGAGTTTTGTCTGAAAAACAGCTCAATTGGAGGTAACCAATAATCAAATCTCTCTCTCTTTCTTGTGCGCACACGCAGTTGTCTTATAGTTTCGTCCCAGCATCTCAGCGTTAGATAAGTCCTATAACTGGAATTTAGAGAGATTAGACTGGTAGGTATGCATGCAATTAATTTCACCCCTCTTATCCTGCAGGTTCCCTACACTGAGCTTGGAGGGAAAACTCTGGTGATGACGGTATATGACTTTGACCGTTTCTCCAAACATGACGCCATTGGAGACGTGAAGGTGCCTATGAATAAGGTCGACTTTAGTCATGTGACTGAAGAGTGGAGGGACCTCCAGAGCGCTGAGAAAGAAGAGGTAAAAAGCTAACATGGGTGGCAATAACCTGTTTTCTTGTAATGTGATTAAATCTTAGCATTTGAGTGCATATTCCATATTTATTGCCTGACCTTCTGGAGCACAAGTGGAAAGTTTGCCAGTTGAGTTGTTCACTAGTAGTGATTCTTCCCAGTGACTTGAATCTTTTCAATCCATTCACACACAAACAAAAATCATTCACATTCAGATTTGTTTGCTGATCTGGATAAGTTAACACTTTATACCAGTTGGTAGCAACTCCTAAGTGAACGAGTCAAAATCGTTTTGGTTTTTGTTTTTCTAGACGTGATCTCAACGTGGCATCCCCCATTTGCAGACCCTGTTTTTGTAAAATGAAAGAATTTGTATTAGGCTACTCAAATGATACGTCTTCATAGATTTTGAACATAGTAAAATATATATTTTTTTATTTAAAAATAAATTTAAATTTTTTTTTAAATGAGAAAAAAATGTGCACCTTTACAAGATTTAGTAAAAACACTTAAATGCTGTACACAATCGAAACTAGATTCTATACTCCACTGAGAGATGCAGACAAATGGTTATTGGCATGTTCTTCAGGTTTGTCAGCTGCATGGAAATTTACTCACTGTACAAGTGCTAGACTTCAGGGCTATCCATCTTCAATGGAAATGTCAGTTAATCAGCTGGGTCGTGCCACATTTTTATTAATAAAAAAGTGTGACTTTCCAGGAAGTGGTTGCGGAGATTCAATTTTCATGGTAAATGTCATGGAATATAGCATTTAAGCCGTGGTTTTTGTGGGAACCTTGTTTTTGTGCCACGGTTCCTTGGTGTAAAGGTTAATTATGACGCTGTCAAAAGCCTGCTGAGGGCAGAGAGATGAAGGCTGTCTACATACGTTGAAGGTTGCTCTTTGAGTTTGTGCAGCTGTTACACTCCATGTCCGATGAGCTAGCGGAGCACTTCAAACACCGCTTGAGGAAGCTGGAGAGTATTGACTTTATTCAAAGAATCTCCTTGTGAGTGATGTCCTGAGGGTGGCACTTTTAAGTGCCTGTAAAAAACTAAATGAAAATCGACTGCAAAATGCCGTAGCGTCTCGCAATTCCATCCAGTTCAGTCCTCTTTGCTCTTTTTTTTTTCCACTACACAATTGCAAAAAAAAGAAGAAGAAAAAATTCTTGGCAGTTGATTCAACTTATTTACCGTGTAGGACTCATTTAATTAAGCTACAGTATGAAATGTTATTTTTCCATTCTGATGACCTTTTAATTGACAGAAAATCGATTGTGTGGAAATGGCATCAGCCAGTTGAAAGTAAAGTGATGTAACCTTTTCCCACTTCCTGTTGTTTTCTATATGTCACATGTGTTTGTGTCCATGCTTATTAGAATGGCTCCTGAAATATGAATGGAATGTGTGTACGTGTAAATGTATTTTCAGTGTGTTTACTGTTGGAGCTACATTTGTGGAAAATTAATCAGATTTAAAAAAATACAAATGCCATGCTCCTCAATTCATTTTCTCTTGAATAAATTTGACCAGGTTTTTAGGTTAATTTTTTCTGCTTACCTTGTTAATGATGTCCCTGATTGAAATTTTCTCTGCCACTCACAGCAAGAGAAGCTGGGTGACATCTGTTTGTCTCTGCGGTATGTGCCCACTGCTGGCAAACTGACCGTGGTCATTCTGGAGGCCAAGAACCTGAAGAAGATGGATGTTGGTGGCCTGTCAGGTGAGTCCAGTTACTGAGTCACACTGTCAGCTGGACACTGGCACAAAGGTTGTGCCATTATGTGACAGTTCAAGACAGTGTCTCTTGTTGCCAGCTGTCAGCATGACAATTCAATTGTTTATTAATATTTTTAAAAAGTTTGCATGTTTTTTTTTTTTGTTATGTTTGATACATCAGTCTTTTGTGACTCATATATAATGATATAGGAGAAAACTATATATATATATATATATATATATATATATA